TTCATGCTATTACTAGGTTGAAGTGCAGCCTGAAATCTGGGTACCGTTGGAGATATTGGCTGTTTTGAGCAATGTGGTATGAAGCGGTGCCTGGGCTGATTTGTCCAGGCTAACAGACATCCTTCTTCAAGATATTTCAATTAGCAGAGCTTCCAGACATACATGGTGCTTTTTTAACAGTCAACAAGTGGCAACAAGCATCTCCTGAAGTACTCTAGGACTTCCCAGAGCACCAGGGGGCCATGTTCAGATATTGTGGCCCACATCGTGACTGAATCCTTCAGATGAAATGGAAAATATTCAGTCCTAAGAACTGGCTTTAACCTCACTGGTGCCTTCACCTTTTCTTTATCTTGTGTCACTGAAAGAGGATAAATAATTCTCTGGAGCTACTAAAAGAATGGCTCTGTACATGCCAAACAGTAAAGGCAAATGATGGAACCCACCAGAGACTCACAACTTATGCCATTTTATGTACGTCCTAGCACTTAAACTACGCTCATCTCCACATCAGCTGAGTGCCTAGTAAGCCTGGGGTATCCTCACAGATCCAAATAGCTGACCTCACTGAAGGACTGCTAGTCCTGAATGCTGAATCAGCAACTAAAGATTTGGACTGTCATCTCAACCACAAGAAGCTTACACAGAATCTACTTACCACATTGCTCCAGCATCATGGGAAACATTTTTATTCATCATGCTCTTGTTCCATCTATTTTCTGTTCTTTCGTTTTCCTTTTTCGTGGCTGGGATAAAGCTAAGCTGAAATAAAATGTTCCATATTTCTCTTTGGATGAGGTGATCAACAGAATTTTATTAGCTTCCCCTGGGAAAGGGCTGGTTTCTTTTCCAGGGTAGAGGAGACATTCCTAGTCTCCACTTCTGTCTTTGAAAATGCAATTATGACACACATCCTTCTGCTTATCCCACTGCAAATTTCTAACTACAATATTTGTGACCCTCCCAAGTCTGCCTGAGGAGCAGCTTCATTCTCAAACAGCGTAGCATGACACCCATACCAGTTTTCCCTGTCTCAAGCTAGCTCAGCATATTTTGAAGGCTAAAGCACATAAAATGGCAGATTGCAGATAAGCTTGGCCTGCCTTACTGCTACAGACAAACCAAGGCTCTAATTTTTTTATGACAAGCTATAAACTAACCACTGAACCACCTGAGGAAGGACACACCTCTGGTGGTGCTATCAGGGCAAGAGACCTGGGACCTTCTGCTCCTAAACAATGTTGATAATACAACAGTTGTTGACTAGGCACACAAGCCTGGCTGTAGGACAGAAAATAATTTTAAGTAGTACACCAAGAATCTCAGAAGTCTCCTTGCAGCAATCCACCAGCGCTCATCTGTCAAACCTGACCTAGGCTTTCTTGTTACCTTTGAGACTAAAGAAAAAAAAAAAAGAAAAAAGAAAAAAAACATTCAGAACAAGTTGAAAGAACAGCTTTCAGAGCACAATGACACCTAGCTGGGAGCCGCCATGTTCATCAGTGTGCCCGTGCAGCAGAAGTAAAGATTACTCACACATTTTTACACTACTAGGACCTAAAACGATTTAGAAAAGCTACATTTCCTGAACAGCCATGGCACAACCTGTGTATATCACAGGCATTCTCTCTGTCACAAGCCGCTTATGAAGATACAATTTAAATTGTCAGAAGTTCATGCCTGCACTGCCTCCTCCAATCAGGTGTGACAATGATAAAGTACTACTGAATGTCTTAAGTGGTATTTCTTATTACAGTACTATATCCCAGCTGCCCTGATAACAACAAAAATCAACTGTGAACACTTTCCCTCTGTTAAATTACTGCCCAAAATTCTATGCAGTAGGAAAGGATATTTCTGCATTCGTCTACACCAGAAAGGGATCTGGCCTTAAAATGTTATACAGTGTTTCTGTTAGACACAAGATGACAAAGCTACTGCAAATATCCCAGAATCTAGGAATTTTGTTTGCCTTACTTGTCTGTACAAAAGCTGTGAGGTTTACTAACATCATATTTTTTAACTGTCTTCCTTCTCAAACTTCTACCTCAAATGCATGACAAATACTGTTTCAGAGATCCAAGTCACATCTTTTGCAACTTCTGCTGTGTCTTTCCTTTCCCATTTTCTCTTTCAATTTAGTAAGAAAGTATTTTATTTATTTGTAGCACCAACAGCCAATGACTTTGCTGTTTCAATACTGTTTTTTGAGATTTGCTATAAAAGATCGACAAAACAACTCCAACTACAGTGCTCCAGCAGTAACAGTAGTTATAGTATAGTTCAGTAATAATCAGCAGACTATCCAAAATAGCTGTATTATTTTGACAGATTTTTGACAGATTACAACAATTTTAATGGATATTTATAGTGAAAATTAGTATTTAATCCAGCTCTTTTATGCTCTAATACAAAGAGGCTCTAATTCCTCCATGAATACATATATATTAATGAACAGAAATTTGTGACACTGTTAATAACTGAAGCCAGACATACAAGCCAGGAGTGGCAATAAACAGTGGTGTTCTTTTGTACAGTCCATTTTTACAGGAATCCCCCTTATTCTACAGAGATGTAACACTGTGTAATCAGTCCAAGCCATCACCATGTGTAAAATGAAACTTTTTTATATTAGATGCAACTCCATCAAAATAGTTGCCAATCCTTCTCAAATGTATTTCCCAAAGCTTCTTACTACTACTGCCTGATGTATACAAATAGGGACATGCTAAAGTACATATCATATATGTATATGCATAGTTACACATGCACATAAAGTAGCTTAAACCCTCTTTCCCTTCAAGCCTATACTATAATATAATTACTGCATCAAACTGCAGGATACCAGTGCACTGTAAGTATTGTTAACAAGGTAAAGAAAAGTTATGTTTTTCGATTTCCAAGAGGAAGGGTGGTGACCTATGAAGTAGTAAAGGAAACCACTCATAAGGTTATTTCAATGCCTTGCTAAAAACAGCTCCTGGAATTACAGGAGTCTCTTCCTCATCCTGCTCAGAACAATTGGAGAAGTACAGATCATTTAAAATATATTAATTTAACAGATTAAAAATAAAAGGAATGCAGACAAAAATATAACAGTTCTCACTAATGGAATTACACCATTTTCTTCTCTGATTTCACTGGCAACTGCACCTGGATTAGCCTAGTGAAAAAGTGCCCAAAATTAAATAATCATTACATTTAAAATGCATTCCAGATACTCAGTGGTCATTCTCTGCCATAGTGTTTACTTTTCAGTTTGTCTTGAATTCACTGGGGTCAGTTTTAACTTAGGCCAAAATAAACACTGACTGATGGAAGCTTTGGAGTAAACAACACTAGACTGGATCTGATGTAAACTGGTGAAGATTATTTTTTCTGTATGATCAGAAACTGAAATAAGAGTTACATAAGTATTTTTTAAATTCTAGGAGTAACGGACAGCCCAGGACAGTCTAGAGGACAGAGCAAGGCAGGTGACTCTGCAGACATGCAGGCCTGTTACTGCAATACAAGCAAAACAATCCTGTATTATTCACCTGAGTGACAGAAGAGGATTTATCTTCAACTCTTTTACTGATCCTTTCCCTGCCAGCTCATTCCTGCTTTGAAGAATGTCCAGGAATTTAAATGAATGAAACTAACTTATAAGGAAGTTGGTCAAGCACAGGTTTCTTTGTATAACAAAGAAAATGAATACACTACTGCAAATGTTAAAGGATAAGAGGCCTAACTTTTGCCATAGAGAACTTGATGAATTAAACGGCCTTTGCAATATCCTGCTTTAACCCTGGAAGTATGAAAGCTAATTCCAAAACAAACAAACAAAAAAAAAACCCAAAAACCTGAAGAACTGTCTAAATCAGAAGTAGCCCCAATATCCTCTCTCCACATTAAGTGTGGAAAAAGAAATTTGGAAAAAAGGTAATTATCCATAAAAGTTTAAGATTCTTCAAGTCATTTTAAAAAGCTTCTATCAAATTCTGGACATTATAGCTCCAAGGTCATATAAATGATCTAACACCAGGACACCCGGAGTGCACTGCTTTTAAAAAAAACTACAGTGCAGCACCAGCCAGGAGCTGAGCATTCACTTATAGGCAAATCAGGGGCAGTACCTCACACTCCATCATGCCCATCTCAGAATGCACACCCTGCACGCAGATGAACTTGAGCACATCACAATTCAGAGACAGATTTCTCCCACATGCAGCTTGTCTCACCTTGCCTTATCCTATCCCAGCTTGCCTGGTTCTGTTCTGTATCATTTCATTTCATTTCATTTCATCCCATCCCATCCCATCCCTTCTCCTCTCCTCTCCTCTCCTCTCATCCCACCCCATTCACTCCACTCCATCCTGTTCCACCCACTGGCCCCAGACCATCCCTGCCAGTGGGTTCCACACCAGAGTTTTCTAACTTAAAAAAAAAACAAAAAAAACTAATTATCCAACTTTGACAGGTGTTGCTTAATTATACCACAGCTTTTTGCAGGTGACACTGATCTCACTGCTGGGAACACAGATAATTCCCCACTGCCACCATTATTCACAGAATGGCATTCAACTTCCATTTGACCTTACCCAAAGTGTCTCTTTCTCTCGGTTTATTCTGTTTCAAAGGAACCTCCTGTTACGGCCCTTCTAGAAACACCACCGTAACAGACGGACTCTGTTCCGCCTGCCTTACGCTCGGTGTCCACAGCCAACCCTTACCCTGCGCTCTGCAGGAGCTGGGAGGGAACTGAACGCTCCCCCGCTCTGTGCCCCACTCCTTCACGTCGCACTCGGGCAACCCAAGTTCCGCCAACACCCCGCTTGTGCTCCCTCTCCACGCACAGGCAGCACGGCAGCTCGGCCCCACTCGCAGAAATCCCCACAGTCCCACCACCCGACTTTTAAAGCGAAACGGGGAGCCACGCAGTACCAACACGCCGCACGCAGCAGCCGGGGCAGCGCAGCGGGCAGGCCGCGCAGGCTGCTGGGCTGTCCCCGCGGTACCTTCCTGAGGGCCGCCCGCAATGCGCCGTGTTGCGGCGCGTCGGCTACGCGCCCTCTGTCCCGCCGCCCGCCGCCGCCGCGCAGTGCCGAGGCCCGCAGCACCCAGCGCCCTCCGCCCCGCAGCGCCATGGCTGCCGTCGGCCGCTCCGCTCCGCCCTCTGTCCCGGGCCGCCGTGCCCTCTCGGGTTACCGGTCGGAGCGAGCGGCGAACAGGTGAGGAGAGCGGCGAAGCGATGAGACCCTGCTTTCAGATTCATCTATTTATTTAAGAAAAAAAAAAAAAAAAAAAAAAAAGGACAAAATTCGCTCCTGCACTGCCGGCGCAAGCCCAGCAGGCTGGGGTCTTCTTTAGGCGATGACACAGCCGCCCTTCTCCTTGAAGGGGTTCTTGTCCTCCGGGACGCCCTTCACCAGCGGGTCCTCTCCTGAGCGCTCCTCGATGTAGTTCTTGATCTCCTCGGAGCACTTGGACACCTGCGGGGAGGACACACATGTTGCCAGAGCTCACGCACTCCTCAGCAGCAAGGTGCTGGGCTCGCACCTTTCCCTGTTTGCCCGCCCATTGGGTACCACAGGCCAGCACTCAGCCCATTGGCTGCTACACTGCTGTATTAAGCACATCTTTCCCGATGTGACTTATAGTCAACACCCTCAGGATCAACATTTCAGCTCCACAACATGCTATCTGTCTACAACACATCCATTACTTCATACTTTTTTCCCAAACAAAACACTCCATAATGGTTTTTCAGTGATGATACAAATCCCCATCCCAAGTTCTATAGCAGAAGCCACCCGTCTTCAATGACAGTCACCTAGGAAATCATTCACTTACTGGCACGTGGCATTATGCCAAACAACAGCTAATAAAACACTGCACGAAGCAGGAACACAACCCACAGGCCTCCTTGCATGACGGCCCCACACAGAGGGCCCCCACAGGAACCTGCCCTGGAGGAGGACCGGGGCTGCTCTGTGCCCCGACCACACACACCTCTCACTTCCCTTCCTCTGGAACAGACACTGTCCTCAGGTGCCTGGATAAGGGACGCCTCCAAGCACAGCTCCCTGCTCTGTGCCTGCCAACCCACAGACACAAGAGCGCAGTCAGCAACAGAATCCAGCTGCTGCCAGGCCGACAGGGGCCATTATTTCTAATTTAAGGCGCGCTGCTTTCCTCCATAATTATATCTTACTCCATAGGTAAAGTTATGCCAAGTGAGATGGTGAATTTACCCGCTGTGTCACAGCCTCTGAGCCATCAGAAGTAGCTCAGGGTTAATCCTCAACCACAGGGTGTGCAGAATAAGGCCTAACTACCTCTAGCTGTGGTACAGCTATGACCTGCAACACAGACTCCATTCTCACTGTGAAGCTTTGGTACAGTGCAGAGGTGAAACTGAGGATGTTGACTGTGCTTTTCTGCAGATGGTTTCAAAATACCCATTTCCCCAGTCTTTTGGTTTATTAGAATACTAGAATATATTGACTAAGTATTAGAATATTTAGACTATTCAGAATATTTAAATATATATTTATTTACATAAAGAGTTTTAAACTCTTTTTAAGAAAATCAAAATCTATGCATTCTACAGAGTACTTCAGGAGCTTGGGAATGCTCTGAGGAATGACCCAGGTGCCTGTAGTATTCAGATGTGCAGTCCTTAATACTTCTGGATCCACAACCATAACATCTACAACCACTGACATTTAACTGACACATAAAATGCAATGAGGCATTGGCACTGCTGTTCAGAGAAGCTGTGGGTGCCCCATCCCTGGAGGCATGCAAGGCCGATCTGGATGGGACGCTGGGCAGTCTGATGTGGTGGGTGGACACGAGCCCTCAGCAGGGGGTTAGAACTGCGTGGACTTTAAGGTCCCTTACAAGCCAAGTCCTCATTCATTCAATGAGTCTGTTATAATTGTGGCATTCTTATTTTGTTGGCTATGTACCTAGATCTAATACACAGAAACAATTCCACTGATCCCCTAATATAAACTCACTTTTAGTCTGAAATAGTTTTTCTAGATGTACTTTTTTTCCTGCTGGCATATAGAATTAATATAAATATAAATATGGAGCAAGATCAATTGTGTTCTTCCATTTACAGAAAACGTGCAATAATACAACAGCAATAAAAACCACCAGAAACTATTCACCTGTGGAAAGAAATTACCAGTGTGACAGAAAGTATAGTGCTCCCACTGAACGCAGCAGGACGGAGCTGGGCTCTGGGGCACCGGCCCCTCAGCTTCTACCCTTCTCCCGGGGGTGTCCCGCGGCCACGGCACCCCCCCACGCCCCGGTGCCTTTCACATAGGAGGGGAATTCTGCCTCTCCCGGCACGGCCGCTCGGAGGGGGATCTGGGCAAGAGCCGTCGGGGAGAGCACAGCGCTCCTCTTCCCGCGGCGGGGCCCCCAGCACCCCCGCGCTGCTCCGGGACGGAGCCCTCCCGCTCCGCCCCGCCGGGCTCCGCACGGGGCTGCCCGCCCGGCCCCGCCGCCGCCCGACGGCACCGCGTCGGGGCTGCCCGGCCGCCCCCCGCCCCTGCCCCAGCCCCTGGCCCGCCCGGCGGCCCCTCGCTCACCGGCTGCCTCTCCAGCTTCACTTCTTTCCGGAGCTGCTCCACTTCCATTTTCAGTTTGTCCTTCTCGCTCAGATCCTCAATGTTGATCGCCGGCATGGTGTGCGCTGCCAGAGCGCGGAGAGAGGGAGGGGAGGAGGGAGAGAGGACGAAGTGTTACCGCTGGGCAGCGAGGCCGTCGGGCCCGGAGCCCCCGGTAGGGCGGTGGGACGGCGGGGCGGCCGCCCCCGGCCCGCCCCCGGCCTCACTCACCCGGTGCCGCCGGGCTGCTCCGCGGCGACCGCTTCCTCCCCACCGCGCCGGGCACCCTGCCCCGCGCCGCCCGGCCTTTAAACTCCGGGATAATCCCCTCTAATCGGATTACGGCCCTCCCGGCTCCGCGCTCGGGACCTTCACACTGCGGGGCCTCAGCACCCCGCACCCGGACTGCTGCCGGGACCTGCTCCCCTCCTCGCCCCGTGGGGCAGAGGTGGCCCGGGGCTGCCCAGCGCTCAGCCCTCTCCTCCTGTACCTCAGTGCTGCGTGGTCGTGTGCCGCTGGCGTGCTGAGAGAGGTGAGCTGGTCGCAGCAGGTGTTTCTCTTGGGCTCATTCCCCCAAAAGTTCTGTGTTAAAACTACAGGCAGATCAGACTGAAAGGCAGAGAGGAGAAGGAACAGCTGTCAGGTCAGGCTGTCAGTGGGACACATAGCTCTGCATGCCACAGCACTGCACAGAGCATGTAGGGTCCTGCAGCTGTGCTGGGTGCTGGGGATGGGGTACACTTGGAGTGGTGGGTTCAGAAAGCACAAGAAGGACTGATGAAAGCCCTGTGTGCTTGCATACATACACTGCTGAGGTCCAGACCCTGAGCAGAGGTCTCACTCTCTGCAACAAGTGTCCCTTCACCCTGTTTGCGCCCTGGCATCTCTGCTCTTGGCAGCTGCTTTCATATGACGCTAGCAGATATGGGATCAGCACAGCCGCAGCCCTTCACACCAAGCAAAGCTGCAGGCCTACGTGCAGTCCTTCGAGTGGGAGTGTATGAACCCATTTGGTTTTCAGAACCTGAAACGCCCCTGTAGGCAGTCATCCCCCTTCCTCCTTCCATCTCTGGCTATAGCCACAAGGACACTACCTGCCCCTCTCCCACCCACCGGATGTAAGCAGTACAGCAGGATGCCACGATTTACACCTCCTTCCTCTGCCACTGCTCCAATAAGTGTTCACAGGGTTTACAACAAACAGGGTTTGTTTGTATTAACAAACAGGGTTTGCTAATCAGATTTATTTCAGTTCACTAAAATCAGCTCCTCTTCCCCTCCATCCTTTTGGATACTATCCATGTGCAGTTCCTAATCCCTACAACCTACGCTGTCATCCCCATGCCCCTGCTGGCCACAGTGCTGCTCAGAGCAGTGCCAAGGAGCTGCTGGCTGGGCAGCACAGCCCTTGCTGGGAGCATGGAGTGGGTATAGAGAATGGTGGGCACAGGGGGGCCAGAGCTGAGGGCTGCCAGTGGGAGCAGGGCATCATAGCCCAGCAATGGAAAACCTGCAGCAGCCACCTGCAGATATGACTACTTCTGCTGACTGTAGCTAATGAAGGCTCTCACCACTCGCTGTTAGTTGCTCCTCAGGTTCGTATGTTTTTACAAATACCCACCTAATCTAAGTGAACTTTGTTGCTGTTACAGCAGAGGAGCAGCTGAGTAAATGCCACACCGTGCTGCAGGGTTGATGGATAGACAGGTTTAATCCAAACTTTGTTTTGTATGTGTGCATGCACAGAGGAAATGGAAAATGGTATTAGTGTGACAGCACTCATTTTGCTGCTATTGTTTGAAGTGGCATTTCAATGGCTTCCTGTGCAATTCCAACAAAATCCAATGAAAGCTAAAGGCCATCAGTCCGACTGTATAAAAATCATCTGTGAGAAAGATGGCTTTTTTTTTTCTTTTTTTTTTTTCTTCTGGAAATAGAAAATCTGGTGGTTGTTTTTTTCCAACTAGAGGAACCGAAGCTTTATTACAATCACTGCGTTTCACAAGTTTACCCAAAAGTGAGGGCATGCTATTAACGGCCATAGTAATAAGATCCTGAAATATAGCAGATGTGTCCCATGGTGATGCCTCACATTGAACCAGGATTCTGTTTGGTTGTTGGTGTAGTTTTGCGTGTGTTTTTGTATGTTTCTGTGTTTTAACTAAAGCAGCTTCTTATTCTTGAGCAACTGGGAGATTTTTGAAGAGAAACAAGAGAAACCATAAAGGTTTTGGGGGGTTGAATTTGCTCCTCTTTCTTGCCTTTGTAGAAAGCAAAATCCTGTCAGAAGCAGCCAGCAATCACGCACGGTACGTGGAACACAGTTTCCCTCGGGGCCTGCATGCCTGCTGGGGTTATCTTCAGGATAAACCAAGCCGTGATGCCTCCTGAGACCCATCCAGAGGTTTCATCCCTTCAGCTCTCGGCGCTTCCAGGCCCCGACGCCGGCTCGTTCTCTAGTGCCCCTGGTGCCGGGGCAGCTGAAGGCGGCCGGCTGTAAGGCGGTATGGCGGAGCCTC